TCTGGAGGTTGTATATTGGCCACTGTCAAGATTCGGAAGCAAGACCAGCCCAGGGAGAACACCGTGACAATGAGGAAACATTGGCTCTGGCCACAGCATGGGTTTTGAATGACCCTTGGGAGAGCACATAGAGTTGTTTTTGGAAGGCGATTTGGCTGGTTCGGAGTTTGCAGGCTCAGCACAGAGGTGGCAGAGGACGGGAAAGTGGCCCGAGGAAGAGTGTGGAGGGAGTGCCCTCCTGAACCCCTCCAGGTCGGCCCTGCCCTTTGCTTTACAACTGCCCAGGTGCCCAGGGAAAAGGCCCTTCTCTCGCTTCCCCACCTGTGGAGTCCTCTTGCCCTGATCATTGTTAATGATGGCAGCAGCTAACATTTTGGTGCTGATGACGGGTAGTAAGCATTTGCACATTGCCGCCTCCAGAGACCAGGCAGCAGCCCTGCAGCATAGCAGGAACTTCTGTTCTCCCCATTTTACAGATGAGGAAATAGAGGCTTGAAGAGGTTGGGCTACCTGCCCTTCTGCCTGGCTGTTACATGCGGGGCCCTGCCTTGCGCTGTCATTTCCACTGCAAGCCAGGCCTCACACTCTGGGTGCTCACTGTGGCTGCCTCTGCACCCGCGGCAGGGCTTCTCTGGGCTCGCTCATCCCACACTCCAGGCAGTGTGATGGTCCTTAGCTTCCTAAGCCTCCCCCACCTCATGACTCTGATGCTCAGATGTGACCTTGTCCCTTTTCACATTATGTCCAGGATCCATCCTCTGCAGGCACACATCACTGTTCCTCTTGGAGGCCTCGGGGGCCTCTTGCAGCATCCGTTTGTGTTTCTGGGGATGCAGGGTCCCAGATTATGTAGTAGAGCCTTGTCCTCACATTCAGAGTCCCCTCAAGCGTGCCCCCTCCCTGTGTCCAGGCTCCACTCTCTCCATCACTCTCCCAGTGCTGCGTGCTATAGATAAGCAGACTCCACTCCCTGAACGCATGCACAGCGTATGGTCCCCTCCCTCTGCCCTTTGCCCTGGTGGCAAGTGCACCTGTTCTTTAGGGCGACAGCAAATGCCCCAATGTTGGCCCCTCTCCCGTGGCATCTGTCACCAGCTGCCCTGCTAGGCTGTCATTCTTGTCCTTATGTCCAGGTCAGAAGTGGAGTGTCTTGCTCATTTTTGTATCTCTGTGTACCTAGCATGGCACTCAGCAAACTGATGGGGTGGTCTGCCCGCTCCAGGCCGGGGTCTGTCCCCAGAGGGGTGGGTTTTGGGGGTTTCTGTCTGGGTGTTGGTGGTATTGTGGTGAACCTAAGTTTTGTTTTGAGCTGGTTGGGTCCTAGCAGTGCTGAGCTGCACTTTGGTACCACTGTCGCTGAAACCCAGTAGGCGCCACCTTGTATGTTTCTGGCTGGATGAGATGTATTTCCCACCCAGTGCATAGAAGAGCAAGTGAGGAACTGCCTGTGAGGCTGTCCTGGGATGTCCTCTCGGGGCCTCCTGGATCCCTGAGGGAACCAAGCCTCACTCTTACAGAGCCAGTCTTTCCGGCCCCTCTCTGGGGCTGGCGCACAGTCCCCAAGGTCCGGGGAGGTCCGTGCACTTCTCGGGGCCTCCTGCAGACTCTGAGCCCCATCTAGTGTCTCCCCACGTGGCACAGCTTTGGGCACATAGCAGTTGCCCGGCCCCTGACAGATCCCTGGGCCAAGGACCTCAGTGGTGGGCTCTCTCCTAGAATAGCTCCCCCTACTTATAGGGAGTGATGAAATATCAGGGCAGGTGCTTTGTCGTAACGAGATGTTCGAGATCGGGGCTGATGGAGGCACGTGCTCATTTTTCTCTCTCTCGGTGTGTGTTCACTTGTGGACAGGCAGGTGTGGAGCACGCAGAGCCCCTTGCTCCTTCCAGGGACCCAGATGTTCGAGATCGGGGCTGATGGAGGCACATGCTCATTTTTCTCTCCCTCGGCATGTGTTCACTTGTGGACAGGCAGGTGTGGAGCACGCAGAGCCCCTTGCTCCTTCCAGGGACCACCTGCCTGAGGCTGCCTCAGGCCACCTCTGGCATCCCCATCAGCATCCAGGTACCAGGAGCTGGGAGAGTGGTTTCCAGGCCCTCCCCTCTGCCCACCCACGGTACCCCCAACCTGCCCCCCAAGGCAGCCTGGCCAGGGACAGAGGCCTGGGGGCTGAGCTGCCATCCTCCCAGAACCTGGACCAGTGCCAGGTGGAAGGGTGGCCTTTCTGGGCTGTCTAACTCTCTTGCCTGTGTTATAGAGATGTTCCATCTTGTCACCTCAAACCTTGTCCACCAAGTGTGGTTTCTTCCTAGAGAGCCAAGTTGGGGGCTGTGGTTGTTGTAGTGAAGGAGAGAGGTGGGTTGAGGGAAGCCTGGGGCCATTTCCCTGAGCAAAAGCAGGGCCGAGGCCAGACTGACTGGGAACATCAGCTCAGAGGCGGGGACTGGCCTGGGCTGCCCTGGGCATCATGCAAGCTGCAAGGTCGGCTGTCAGGTGGGAAGGTGTTTCACATTAGCTCATGTGTCTGATGTGGGAAGTTCTGGGAGGCCGCAGCACTGGTGCGTGGGGGACCTGAGATTCAAGCCCAGCTCCCTGTCACCCACTTGTCCATCTGTCTTTCACAGGGCCTTCAGGCCCTTTCAGGGCTCTCCCCCAAAGGAGCCGTGGGTGGTGACGCTTTGGTGTGGAGACACCACCTGGCCAAGGTGGGTGGCAGTTGCCACAAGAGAACATCTCCACCCCTCCCTCCACCCCAGCAGGGATTACGAAGTGCTGAGAGTGACAGGAGCTGGAGCCCTGGCCCCAGGGACAAGGACGAATCCCCTGCCTCCCCTACTGCCACCACTTCTAGGCTAGACATATTCTAGATGGGTGGAGCCATTTCTCTAGCAATGGAGCTGGAGATCGGGGTGGGAACCCTGACTTCCTGGAGCAGGAGGAACTTTGTGGCAGGCTCCCTAGGTGGAAGCCACAGTCCCTGCTCACCTGTCAGGGCAGGCAAAGGGATCAACCTTTCCTTTCAAAGGGGTTAAAAGGGCTTAAGGGCTCATCACCCAGAGGCAGGTATAGAATCTTGTCCCAGGCGTGGTGTTCTGGAGTTAGGGGTAGCTGGGGGGCAGATGAGAGAGGTCACACGGCCTGGCTGTCACCCATGAGGACATGCATCCATGCACAATTACAAAGAAGCCTATAAAGCAGGTACAAATTAACAGAGAGAAAGCCAAGTGCTTAAGTGCCCGGGAATGCCGAATGTGGGCAACACGGGCATCGCAGCAGCGCAGACTCCCGCCCCTCCACCGTGGCAATTTCACAGTTGACGTCCACTGTGCTGTCTGCGTGTTTGCCCTGGTCCTCAGGCCTTGCCTGCTGGCTTTCTGCTGTGGACAAGACGTGGCAGTCCCTGGTGGTCCATGGTGAGGTCTTTGGCCTGAGCTGCGGCAGGGCATGTGGGGTGAGGAGATTTGGGGCTGAGTCTGTTGGGGGACCTCCAGGCTGCCCTCCATGGACCCCAGAACCCTCCCCTGCAAGGCCTGGTTCCATCTCCTCTTCTCTGTCCTGGCCTCCCCTACCCCCAACCTTTGGCGGTTACTCTAGTCCGGGCACTGTTAAGCACTTGCCTTGAAGAGTCCCCTGCAAGAGGCTCTTGTTCTCAGTTGACACATGAGAAGAGAACTCCCTTAACTTGCCCGTGGTCAGTGGAAGGGGCGGGGGGAAAAGGCCAAGCAGCAGCAGCCATGTTAGGAGCTAGAGCCCCGCTTTGCAGGGGCCACCCTCCCTCCCAGGCCCCTGCCAGGCCGGGCACGGAGCAGTGACAGAGCTAGCCCTTTTCATTGTACAGCACCTTTGTGTGTCTTACATCACTGCATCCCTGTAACGTGTGGAAGCCGCGGGTGTTGTGGTTGCCGCCACTTCACACACCTGGGCCCCGAGGCTGGGACACGTCCAGGGGGCACACGTCCAGATGCGGGCAGAGCTGGGGACTTTGGCTCCCAGATGCCGGCTTCATCCTCCTGTCTCTGAGCAGGACCTCGGGGTGAAAAGGCTAGGGACCGCGTCTATGTGTGGGGTGTCTGCCCCCTCTGCAGAGGCTCAGGCCATGTCCCCAGAGCAGGGGAAGGACCGGGGGAGGCAGGAGCAGCAAGGCCAAGACCACAGGGCTGAAGCACCTGCCGCCCATCACCCACATTGTTTTCTAGGTCCCTGGCACTGGAGGGGTTTGTTGGGCGGTTGCTGTGTCTCTCTCCCCACCCCCACCCCTGAAATGACCTGCAGCCAGTGAGGCAGGTGGAAAGGGGCCCAGCACATTTCCCCCAGTGTCTGGGCTGGGATTATCCCATGGGCCCCACCTGTCACTACATGTATGGCCAGTGAGGGCCACTGCAGGCCTGCCCGCCCTTGTCCGCTCTACCAGGAAGGGCTGGCCCAGGGCTGAGCAGCTGTCCCTAGTCCCCACCCCTCAGCCTTCTTCCTCTCACACTCCTGGGGTTGCTTTTCTGTGAAGCACAAGAGGCTCCCTTCAATTTGGAAACTCCTTAGGGAGCACCGTCTCTGCAGCCTGGGAACGGGGACCATGGCAGGGAGGGGCAGTCCTGGAGCCTGGTCCCTGCCAGCCCTGTGGCTGGGTTGACCCTGGCCCTTGTTGCCCCCATGTCTGAACCCCAGGACAGGAGGGGCTGGTGGTCCTGGGTCCCTAGGTGGATGCGCTGGAGCTTAGGGATCTGGTGAGTGCAGCTACTTCCTGGGAGGTGCTTTGCCTCGAAGGCTGAGAAGGCCAAGAAGCTTGAGTCAGCCATGGTCTCCTTGTTTGGTCCTCTGGGCGGATGCAGCAGCGTCCAGTCCAAGTCCCAGCTCCCTGGGAGCTGTCCTTTCCTCCCTCAGCTGGCCTGTGCCTCCAGCTCAGTGCCCCATCCCACTTCCGGCTCCTTTTCCCTGGTGGCCTGGGGGCAGGGCGCGTCTGGCGCAGTCTTCAGGCTGACTCCACTCTTTCCTCGGTCCACAGGATGAAGCCAACGCACACAATGGTCAACTGCTGGTTCTGCAACCAAGACACACTGGTGCCCTATGGGAACCGCAACTGCTGGGACTGCCCCCACTGCGAGCAGTACAACGGCTTCCAGGAGGTGCGGCGCAGGACTGGCGCTTCTGAGATGGGCACTGTGGGGCCGCCTGCTGCCCTACAGGCTCTGAACCATCTGTTTTCACGGGTGGCTGCCCTGGTGCTGCACCCTTGTTGGAGGAGGAACTGGACTGAGGCAGCTGTGATGACTTGTCTGAAGTCACACCACTAGAAGTGGCAGATTTGTGGTTTGAACCCAGATCTTTCTGGCTCTGCAACCATTTTCTGCACTAGATCAGGGGTCGGCAAACTTTCCCTACAAAGGGCCAGATAGTGAGTATTTTAGGCTTTGCAGGCCGCGTGATGACGGTCACTGCTGCTCAGCGCTGCCAAGCGCGATAGATAGTATGTGGATGAATGAGCATAGCCATGTTCCCATAGGACTTGATTTACAAAAACAGGCCGCCAGTCCGTGGGCCATGCTTTGCCTACCGCGGTTTGCAAACAGTTCCCAGAGCTGTGGGGTTCTGGGGACAAGGCCAACGGGAGGCGGGCGGCAGGCGCTCAGGCCGGGTGGCTTCACTCCAGAGTCTGGGCCTTCAGGGTTTGGTGCAAAGTGTCTTTGGCGGGAGAGCTGCTGCTGTTGGAGATATGCCACCACTTCCCTGTGGCGTCCCCACATGGGGCCTCCATGCTACTACTGTCCAGGCTAAGCCAGCTGGGGAAGCTCGCCTGCCTGTTGGGAAGGGGCTCCCCCTCTGACCACAAGTTCCCCCTTTTCCCCCAGAATGGTGACTACAACAAGCCAATCCCTGCCCAGTACATGGAGCACCTGAACCACGTGGTGAGCAGCACGCCCAGCCTCCGTGAGCCCGTGCAGCCGCAGCAGTGGGTGAGCAGCCAGGTCCTGCTGTGTAAGAGGTGCAACCACCACCAGACCACCAAAATCAAGCAGCTGGCCGCCTTCGCTCCACGCGAGGAGGTGAGGCCGGGGCCCTTTCGGGGGGTTCTCAGAGCAGCTGAGGGGTCAGGCACATGTGCAGCACGCTGGCTGGATGCCGTCTTGGGGCCTCAGCCCCTGCTCTGCCAGACAGCAGCTTTTCTGTCCTGAGTGCCCAGGGGGTCCCCTCCTCACCCTGACCCTATGTGGCCCCACATTCCTAGGTGTGTGATTTCTTCCAGCCCCATTGTAGCTGGGTTTCTCCTTGTGTCTTGTAGTCACTTGTAGTTCTAAGCCTGAGAACACCATGGAAACCCTAGCGCCTGTCAGTCCAGAGAGGTTTATCCCTAGACAGAGGGAGGGAGGATCCCTGGGCTCCAGCTGAAGCCCTGTTGGGTCCATCCTGTCCTCATCTTTCTGAGTCAGTCTTGCAGTTTGTTCTGAGAGCTGGCAGGGGATGCTCCTGGCTTCTGGGAGAGGGCGGAATCTAGATGTTGCTGAAAGGCCTGATGTTAGGGGTTGGGCTAAGCTGGGAGCTTTGCCACCCCTGGGCCCACCATGGAATCCAGGAGCCTTGTTACCTGGCTGCTCCTGCCTCTCTACCTACTCCTAGACCTCCCCCCACCCAGGGGGTCCTGTGACTTCCAGAAGCAGATGCCAGCTGGGGCCCAGGGACACTGGCTCTTCCGAGGTCAAGCCCAGGAGGGAGGGCGGAGAGCAGACATGAGCTTGGGGCCTGCAGCAAGGTGGGGGAAGCTGCGGCTTACAGCTGGGCAGCTTTTCCAGTGCTGGGTCCCAGCGAGAGATGGCATTGATGATTTTCCCAGCCGCCGCAGACTGGAAACGGGGGGAAGTGTGTGGCTGCATCTCCGAAAGGTGGTAGAGATGGGACTTGTCTCCTGGAAGCCCAAAGAACCCTTCAGCTCCTCTAAGGTCCAGGCCAGACAGGGCTCCTAGAGTTTTTCAAATCCTTGGGCTCAAGGGGAAGGGCTGGCCCTGCCTCTAGGTTACCCGTCTGTCTGAGTCCAGGCAGGGTCAGCTCAGAGCCACCTTCTGCGGCTCACCTGCCTTCCTGGAGCTGTGAGTCCAGGGAGCAGGGCCTGAAGCCAGGAAAACGTCCTGAGCTCCANCAACGAACCCTTCAGATCCTCTAAGGTCCAGGCCAGACAGGGCTCCTAGAGTTTTTCAAATCCTTGGGCTCGAGGGGAAGGGCTGGCCCTGCCTCTAGGTTACCCGTCTGTCTGAGTCCAGGCAGGGTCAGCTCAGAGCCACCTTCTGCGGCTCACCTGCCTTCCTGGAGCTGTGAGTCCAGGGAGCAGGGCCTGAAGCCAGGAAAACGTCCTGAGCTCCAGGCCTCCAGGTGCATCGTGGAGCAAAGGGACTTCATTAGAGTATCTCCGTCCCCTGTGGGCCTCTGTATGGTCCGGCCCACACTCCCAGTAGCCCACGTCACTGTTTGTCCTTTTGGGCTGGGGGAGGGAAGCAGGTTCAGAGTGGGGATGACTTTCGTGCATCACCCCCCCAGGACCTGAACCCCGGTCCCACCCATAAGACAGACGGGCAGCTCAGCCACCATGCAGACACCAAGCCTCTGCCCCCCGACCCCGCAGGGCAGGTACGACGAGGAGATTGAGGTGTATCGACACCACCTGGAGCAGATGTACAAGCTGTGCCGGCCGTGCCAGGCAGCCGTCGAGTACTACATCAAGCACCAGAACCGCCAGCTGCGTGCGCTGCTGCTGAGCCACCAGTTCAAGCGCCGCGAGGCCGACCAGGCCCACATGCAGGTCCGCGCAGGCAGTCATGGGGCGTTTGGGCTGTCGGGGCCTGGCCACTGTGACCAGAGGGCAGCTTTTCTGAGCTGACAGCCTTATCCCTTCCCACGGGGCCACCTTCCCACCCTGCCCCTGGACCCTTTATGTCATCAGCCAAGTGTGTGTTCTCAAGGAGAGTGGCCAGCATAAGGATGTGCCTGCTGTTTACATGCCTGAGCTTGGCTTCAGGTTGCCCTGCTGCACCTGAGCTCCTCCGGACTCTGCTGCCTCGTCCTCAGAACGGCCTTGGAGGAACACTCTTAGGCGTTGGGACCCTGTATCAGTGCATTTCTGTTGCTTAAACAAAATACCCAAAACTGAGTAATCTATAAAGAAATCAAATTTATTTCTTACAGTTTGGGAAGCTGGGAAGTCCACGGTCCAGGGGGCATGTCTGATAAGGTCTGTCTTGGAGGGAACTCTGCAGAGTCCCGTGGCCACCAGGGTGTCACATGGTGACAATGGCAAGAACACTGTCATGTGCTCTGAATAAAACCACCTGCCCACGCCCATGATAACTCATTACTCCATGTATGGGTTAATCCATTCAGGAGAGCACAGTCCTCACGATCCTGTCACCCCTCGAAGGCCCCATCTTTCAAATATCGTTGTCGGATTTCCCACCCTCATAACACTGTTACAATGGGGATCAAGTTTCCAACACATGAACTTTCAGGGAACACATTTGACCCATAGCAGACCCCCGTTTACAACTGGAAACCCAACTCAGGGAGGTTAAGAAACTTGCATAGTGTTGTTCACCTGGTGTGCAGTGGTGCCACTATCTGAACCCAGGGTCTGACTGAAACTAATTTGTATCATGGTACTCAGTTAGTAGAACGTAGTCGGTCATCTGTATCTGTAGGTTCCATGTCTGTGGATTCAATCGACTGCAGACTGAAAATATTTGGGGGGAAAAATGGACAATTCTGTCTATACTAAACAATTACAGACTTTTTCCCCAGTCATTATTCTCTAAACAATATAGTATAACAACTGTTTACATTGCATTAGGCATTATAATTAATCTAGAAATGATTTAAAGTATACAGGAAGATGCATGAGGGTTATATGCAGATAATGCACCATTTTATATCACTGGCTTGAGCAGCTGCAGATTTTGGTATCCACAGGGGGTCCTGGAACCAAATCTCCACAGATACTGAGAGACGACTATATTCTGGTTGTTTAAAAATCATGTATAGTAGCAAGTAGATTCAGAAGTAAAAACCTCACAAAGAAACTCCTACCTCTCCCCCCCATGTCCCTAGATGTACCCTGGGTCCAGCTGGTGTGTGGTGTCCACTCTGCAGCCAGGCCCCGGCCCTCATGTTTCCCCGGCAGGACACCAGGCAGACCATGTCCTTGGGCCTTTGGATCTCATTCTGACCACGTTGTTCATGGTCTGAAAAATTTATTGCTGTATTTTTAAATTTAACTTTTGTCAGTCATCTGTACGTGTATTTGAATTCCAGTTAAAAATCACAATAGGAGTTTTGGGTGAGAACTTGACAAAATGATTGAAAATTCATGTGTGGGACTAAGGTCACCATAATATCAAAAAGATTTCTTTTAGAGGAGAGCATGGTAGAGCAGTGCTCCCCAAGAGAGCTATTGCAGTGGGCGAAGGCCCAGAAGTAAGGCAGGTGGTAAGCCTCTAGGCACAGCCAGGGGCACCTCTGAGCATCAGGAACCGGTGGATTCTTCAGCGAGTGCCTTGGGGCCCTGGCCAGCCACCCTGACAGCGGGCTCCAGGAATGGCCACAGTGATCTTCAGCCATCTCACTGACCTGTCTCTTTCTCCCTCCAGAGCTTCTGCTCCTCTGCAATGAAGGCCCCTGTCCAGGTCATCCTGCTGCGCGCCCTGGCCTTCCTGGCCTGTGCCTTCCTGCTGACCACCATGCTATATGGCACCAGTAACCCCTTCGCCCCAGGGGCCACCCTGCCCCTGGCCCTGCCACCTGGTGGCAATGGCTCGGCCGCACCTGAGAATGGCACTGCCCCTGGGGCTGAGGGCTGGCAGCAGCTGTTGGACCTGCTACCTGAGCACATGGCAGAGAAACTGCGAGAGGCCTGGGCCTTCGGGCAGAGCCACCAGATGGGCGTTGCGGTGCTGGGCCTGCTCACCTGCCTGCTGGCCATGCTGCTGGCCGGCCGCATCAGGTGCGCATGGGGCTTTGGGGATGGGTGGGGGTTCTGCATGACGGGTTGCTGCCTGGCCATGGGAGCCGGGAGGTCCTGTTGGTCACACAGCTCTGGGCTGAACTCCATGGTGTGGCTAGAACAAGAAAAAAAGAAGAAAGGAACAAGGCTTGGTGGCTTGTTCTCCAGGGGCTGGGAGTGGGGGTAAGACGGGACAGCAAATGACCTGCCTTAGAGGGCTCAGCGGTGCTCAGAGCCAGCCCCCTGCTTACACTCTGTGGCTGGGCCCAGGTGCAGTGCCTCTCTACCTCAGACTCATGTCTGTAAGTCGGGGTGACTACAGCCACCTGCCTTAGGCTGTAGGGATCATGTGGGGTGCTCATGGGCCCTTGCAGAAGCAGGCCCTGTACAAGTGCCACGCCCATGTCATCTAACTCCTTACAGGGACTCTGAGGAGCCCCCTCAGCCCCATTTCACAGGCCAGAGCGTGGGAGCTTAGGAGAAACTGCGCAGCACAGAGCCGGGCAGTGGGTGTGAGGGAGGTGTCCCGGCCGGGCTTTCCTCCTGGCCCTGTTGTCTGCCATCTCAGCAGGGCTGGGATCTCCTGCCTGCCCCCTGCTCACCGCCCTGCTCTCCCCTGCAGGCTCCGGAGGATCGACGCCTTCTCCAGCTGCCTGTGGGCCCTGCTGCTCGGGCTGCATCTGGCCGAGCAGTACCTGCAGGCTACCTCACCCAACTGGCTGGACACACTCAAGTTCAGCACCACATCCCTGTGCTGCCTGGTGGGCTTCACAGCAGCCGTGGCCACAAGGAAGGCAACGGGTCCACGGAGGTTCCGGCCTCGAAGGTCAGAGAAGCAGCAGTGACTGTGGGGGGAGGAAAGACGGACGGACAGGCCCGGGGCTTTGCTGCCAGCCTCTTCTTATCTGACTCCCTCCTGCCCACCCTGGCCTGGCCCAGCCCCAGCACTTCCCCGAGGGGTCAGCCTGCCCCCCTTTTCCTTTCGGCCTCTCCATGTCATTCCGACCTAAGGCTCTCCCTGATGCCCTGTAGCTGCTTGCCACTGCCACCACTTCTCTGGCCGGAAACCCTCTCACCTGGTGATCAGCGCACGGGCAGCACCCACAGCCCACCTGTGACACTGGGCTTCCTACTGGCAGCTCCAGGCACCTGCCCTGCCACAGCCTTATCTGGCCCTGACACTGTTGGGTGAGGGGTGTGGGCCGCTGTCTGTCTCCTCTCACCTCCCCTCAAGCCCCTGTCCTGGACGGTGACAGTGGCTGCGGGCTGGGCCCTACGCACATGACCTGTCCCTCAAGTTGCTTGGCACGGCAGGTGCTGCTCAGCAGAGTGAGCGGGGTCCAGAGCAGAGCCCCCCGCGCCATCCCTGGATAGAACCCTCCTCTGGCTCTCTCCTTGGTCCTGCTTGTTGCTGGGCCAGCGCTGTAGGGGGCAGTGCTGCCACTCAGGCTCCACTACTCAGTTCCCTGCTCCGAGGCCTTCCTGAGACCCAGGACCCCTCAGGCTCCTTCCCTGGGAACAGAGAGTGCAATTCTTGGGCCCAGTCTGGCCTTGACCATGAGTCTGTGGCGTGAGACCTCCTTCCAAGGTGGACAGTAGAAAGTCCTGCTTTTCCTTGCAGTCAGCAAGTTTCCTCCTTACGGCCAGGCTGTGGTGGGAGTTCACCCTGGTTGGGGGAGGGAGTTAATAGCCTTTCCTTTATTCATCAGTTAATTACTATGGGCCGGACAGGAAGAACTAGGGCATTCACGCTCTACCCACTCTCCTGAGAACCCCCCGTCACTGCCCCAGAAAGGCAGGACCCCTACCCTGTCCCTACACTTGTCCCCTGTGGGGCAGGAGTTTGGGCTTCCTGGGCTAAGGCTGCCCTCACTAGCTGGCCCCTGGCACGACTGGAAGGCTCTCATTGGCCCTGCACCCCCAGGCCTAGGATGTCCCCAGTTTCCTCCACTTACCCCAGATGATGCCTAGGGAAAGCCCACATTGCCCAGGGTCAGCACACATAAGGGGCACGCAGGCCCACAGTGATGCTGGGAGATGACGTGCCATCCACGTGCAGAGGAAGCTCTTGGCCTAACACTACCTCCAAGGGCCACAGTCAGAATGTGGACCAAGGCCATCCCCTACCTGGCAAGTTGCCCTCAGATGACCTGACACACTCCCTCCACGTCCCATGTGTCCTGCTGCTTGTCACTCTGAGCATAAGTCCCCTCTCCAGGCCTGGCCCCAAGTCTGCCAGCTCCTCCTGTCTGTGCATCAGAGCCCAGGGGAAGCAAAAACAGATTACACCTTCGTGGGGGGTCACACCTGGTAAAAGGGCCACCAGTTACCTGGACCTGAGGAGGCAGGTAAGGGGGAGGGTGCGCTGGTCAGCCTCTGCCTGGAGCCCCGCAGGGAGTTTGAGAGTGGTGCCTAGGCCCTGCTGCAGTGAATTCGTTGTGTTTGGGGGTCCTAAGTGGTTGCCGTACTCCCGAGCCCCAGTGATTGGGCAGCGGCTGCATGTGGTAAGCCCAGGTGGGTCAGGGGACCATCTGGGGGCTTCTGTGGCCCTCCATG